AAGACACCAAGGGCCCCGCCCCGTGACTTGCTCTTCCATACCCCACGTCACGCGTGTCGCAAGATTGTTTAGTTATTCATTTTTCGCAACATCAAACGTAACCGACGTAACCCCCGTGTGTCCCGATTCCAATCAAAATAAATGTTTTCCTTTTTTTTCACGGGGAAGAGGGGGGATGGGGCGCGGTTCGGGGGTTGTTTATTTGCTTTGGCCCCCGCCGGAAGTTGAAAGTTTGCGCAAGCTTCCCGAAGCCTTCCTTCCCTTCTTTGACCCCTGTGGTCCCCGTGGTCTATTCCAGGGAGACTACGCGAAAATGTTGTGAAAGGCAGCGGCAGATGGGAAAGAAGGGCGGGGTTTGGGGGTGGGGGGTAGAACGGAACGGAAAGGAAAGGAGAATGCAGGAGAAAGATGGTTTTCGTTACGGCGCGAGGGTCTGCTAGGCCACGGCCAGAGGGGGGGACGGTGAGGCGAAGGGGCGGAGGGGTCTCGTGCTGAAACTAATAACCCTCGGCCTTTAATTCAATTCGCCGAAAGTAAACTTTGCCCCTCTCGTAGAGCTGCCATTTTTCACGAGCGCGCGAGTCGTGCAGCTGATTACCTGGCGAGGCGTAAACTAATTATGCAATTGTGTATTTCCTCCGCCTCGCCCTCGCAGCAGAGGCGGCAAAGGCGCCGTAGTCTCACCTCTCGCTTCAAGCCTCGCGCTGAAATACGTTCCAGAGAATTTCTCATACTGAACCTCTCACCACATCGAAATCTACTGCTTGCTTGTTCCTGTTCTTCTTTACAGTATTTTTCGCCAATGTTCAGCCCTTTTTTTTTGTAAGTTTGATTTTGAAAATTTTGTAAAGTTTTGCTAACCATCAGAGCCGTTCGTTGCCGACAACAATGTTTTTCAAAAGGTATTTCACACATTACCTTGTTTGCACGTACGCGCGAAAGCATGACTGGTATTTTGAAGGTTAGGAACTGTTGATATTTTTCGTTGGTCTAAAGTCTGTGACGTTCTCTTTTTGTCATGCTGCAACGAAGTGCTGCGAGTTCTGAGTGAATCAGTGTCATCGGAATGTCTCATTGAGAAACTCTTCCTAACCTGCGGAATAAAGTGGATTTTGCGGAGTGAAGAGCAGAACTCGAACTGACAATATCAGGTGGAGTTTGTGACTTGACTTCAATGTGCCCGACGTCCTCTACCACCACAGTCTCTCTAGTAACTTGCAAAAGGTAAGTTCCAATCTTCAGACTGACTTTTTTTTTTTTTTTGAGAAATGCTGTGGGTTTCAACTTTGAACGTATCATATAGTACCAAAAAACATCTGGTAGTGAAAGAAATTACCCCATAGCCTTCACTTTGCCAATCAAATTATGCACTGATACATCTTTTGCATAACCGGATCTAATGTCTTATATTGAAAGTTCCCCATGGAAATTAAGATGATGACGTAAGTGTAAGTTTGAAAAAAGTATGTTAAAGTGGAGCAGAGTGTAGCTGTTCTAATCTGCTATACCCCAATATTACTTTTTGTACAATTGTTGTATGCTCTCTGTATACTTCTGCCAGTCACATAGTTTTAATGTGGTTACTTCTGAGCAGGGACCGTTGAAGTGTAAAATGAATCACACTTCAGATGTTGTTGATGTAAAAGTATCAACAATTGTTGTTCACTAAAGCGAATCCCCTGAAATTTCATTGCATGGTAAAACTTTGCTGTTTTCTAGGTCAGGGTTTGATGTTTCACTTCTTAGTGAGTTGTTGTTAGGTTGTCCTTGCTTGCACCTAAAATCCAACTGTTGTTTAGTATTTCACAACCCTGACGAGCAAAACAGTACCTACGCGCAGCATTTTCTATCCTGTGGTGCCTATTATTCGACGATTCTCAATCCCCGTCTGATCCCCGTCCGTGAACACCGCGCTCTAACGGGCACCTCCTTGAGGTCGCCCCCCCCCCCCACCCTGTACGCCCACAGCAGCACTCTTGACGGGCACCTCCGCGTGTTCGGGCTGTCGTCGCCCTCCGGCCACCGTGGCGGCCCCCTTGTTGCAATGAACAGTGATCATTTCCGCGTCCGCGACCTGACGGGTACGTGTCACCGTGTCCCCTTGGAGGGAACCTGCTCCTTTCTTGCGTCAGGAACAGGGACTTCGGCTACGATGCCTAGTTTTCGCCCGGCCGCCGCGGCCGCGGGCCTCTGACGGCGTCATCTCTTCTGGTAGTCGCCCCCCTCCCCCTCCCCCGCCCCGCCACTTTTCCTGTATATACCCTCCGGTCAACAGAACGTGATGCTCTGACGGCCACCCCCGCGTGGCGCGACCCGTCGCCGACCGGCGCGGCGCTTTTGCGAAACTTGCATCTCCAGCATCACGCAAACGACGTCCCCATCGCATCCGCGGCTCAATCATCATCCATTATTTGCTCTGCCTCCCCGGCCGTCACGGCCGTGCCGGCGGCGGGGTCGTCACACCCCTGTGCCCCTCTTGCTCGGCCGCCTCGTCCGCGCCGCCGCGCCGCCGTCCTCGCGTCTCCTCCACGCCCCGCCACGCCCCGCCGCGCCCCGCCACGCCCCGCCGCGCCCCGCCACGCCCCGCCCCGCCGCGCCCCGCCACGCCCCCCTTTGCTTGTCCACTCCACGTGCTCAATGGCCGCCACGCCATGTCGTTGCCCTCTTGAACCTCCTCTGCGCTGCCGCCGCTGCAGCTGCACTCGGCCGTGGCGACGTGCCCTGACCCGCTGCTATGGAATGCAGATGGACGCCCGGCGTCCGATTGGTTGGCCGGGCGGGCTCAGAGGAGGAGGAGGACATTTACATGGAGGCGCCATACTAGGCGCCATCCACCGTCCACCTCTTGTTGTTGTCGCCGACGTGCTGCTGCCGCTGCTGCAGGCCGCTCGGCGCGGGGACAATGAGTCCGTCAGGGGCCCCGCCCCTGCTGCCCCGCAATGCACTTAATTGCACTTGTGCGCTGCGTGGCCTGCTGGGGGCTCGGCCGGCCTGCTCCCCGGGTCTGCGTGCGTGTGCGTTGCGGAAGGAGCGACGGAGAAGGGTTGTGCACGGCCGTGTCTCCCACCCGTCTCTCCCTCCTCCCCGCTCTCTATACTCTCCCTCTCTCTGTCGAGTTCGGAGAGGCCTCCAGAGCGCGCGTGGTCCCTGATGACGCAGGCAAACAGAACCCTCATCCTGTGTGCCTGTGGCGCCGGCTGACGGTTGGACACGAGGGAAACACCTGTGCAAAAAATATTTGTAAAAAAAGGAAAATGAAAAAAAAAATGTGTACATTTTAAGTTGCTGAAAAGGGTCCTAAAGAGCACATCCTTTTTAGACTTTCATATTTATTTTGCTGTCGAATTCAGGTCGCTAATCGCCCATCAAAGGTGTGATCGATGTATGAGTCATGTCATGTGAATGTGAGTGTGGTGGGCCTCGCGGGTAACCCCCTTGTGTAGCGCTCATGTGGCGTGCCCGCGTGTGCGTGTGTGTATCTGTGTGAGCGCGCGGCACCGCCCTCCGCCCGAATGTTTGGAGGTGCGTCCCGACTCGCAACAGGTGTCTTGGCTCGTGTGTGAGTGTCGGTGCAAACGCGTGTGCGTGTGTGTTTTGGTGGGCGCCCCCGTGCCGTCGCAACGTGGCCGTGCATGTATTTCGAGTGAACGAAATTTGGGTGCACGAGTGCATGATAAAAGGGGACTTGTGGTTAAGTATAAGTAATTGTATTCAGCGTTTTGAAACGGCTGATCACTTTTTTATTATTTTTATTTACCCTTTCTGTCCGTATAAAAAATACCGCCACGCCGGGTACTTGTGGACGTGAAGCGTGGCGCCGTGGACAGGCGTGTCTGATCGGCTCCTCCTCGTTACTGTCAGATGGGGAGCGCGACGGCTGTCCGGCTTTTTGCCGAAGGCCGACAAAAAGCCCAAGCATACCAGCGTCATCACGCCGCGTCTTATGTGTACGACCCTCCGTCTAACGTGACGCCCCCCGAACACGATGACCCCCGAGAAGAGTGGTCAGCAGCAGCTGACGTCGTGCAGCTGCCGCGTCGCGTCGTCTGCTTCTGAACCGATTCGAATTGTCGCTGCTGCGTGAATTTGTATTCATATTTTTTTTATCTATCCTTATACCCTCTTTTTTGCAGTTTTGTGATCCTGTGGAGGCGCTCTTGCGAACATGGTTGTTGCGTCGGCGGCTCGCAAGGTGTAAAGGCATTCGATACGATCGTACTGAATCGATTACTTGATTCCGTCAAACATTAATTTAGTGATGCGCGTGGGTCAACACGTCCACACAATAAGAACCACCAGGAGCAAAGAAGGAGGGAGAGGGAGAACTTGAGGGGTATGCCTTTTTTTTTCTTGCTTAGCATTTTGTTTTGGAGTCGAGGAACATATGGCATGTCCTGTCCTGCGGCCGTTGCGGCCTCGTGTTCAGGTGTCATGTTGGGCCATCGATTGATACCTTTCCTTTGACATGAGTAACCAGTAACCCTTACTGAGCTAAATCAATTCGAATCGCATGTTGCCCACTGCCGCCCTCCTTTTTCTTTTCAGCATACTTCGTGACGACATACGACCGCGGACTAAGCAGGTGTAATAGGAGTGAAAGGGGTGGGCCGAGGGCTTTGCAAAAGGCGAAGGGGGATCTTGGGAACGTCCAACCGACGGTCGGAGCCGGAGCGAAAGGGGTCTGAGAAAGTAAAGGCTAGGTGCAGTGGGAGGCCTGGCTCTTTCAGGAGAAGTAAAGTTAAGAATTTCCATAAAATCTCACTTTAATTTCAGCAGCCGTCTCCGCTCTCTGTATGTCCGCCTCTCTCTGCCCTGTCTCTCTCTCTCTTCTTCTATGTTCTACCGGCCCTCTCTCTTTCCAACCCGTCTCAGAAAGCCCTTCTACTACGGCTTACCTACCCTCCTCCCCCATCCCTTACTACCTTAACTTTTCTCTCTCCTTCCCCCTTTTTCCATTCTTTTCCTCATTCTTCCGAGTTTCGTAGCCAACCCCCAACTCTCCCCGCCAAGCATAGTTCTTCTGCTTTTGTAAACTTCTGTGCTAGAGGCATCTACTTAATTTTCCCGACACCATATACGCTCCAGACCGGTCTATTACGCCTTTGCTCACCAATAATTGCACTCTTCTTCATTTGCTCTCTTCTCTGCCAACGGCATCGGACCGGGATTCGAACCCAGGACCTCCAAGCTGATCACTTGGCGCTCAGCCGCTCGAGCTCTCCAATGTTAAACCGCTTGGGGATAGAGAATGGAGCTTAAAAAGAGTGAATTTATGGATTAGAACACGGCCTTCTTTTGAGCCAGCCTCGCACCTCCCTTCGCCTGATGTCCAGCAGCAGGCCGGTGCCATAGTGAAGCAATTACAAAACCCAGTATGGCTATAACGGGGGATTATAGAGATTTATTCTGCCACTGGCCGGGGGCATATGAAATAATTACAGAAGAAACGGAGAGATAGCGGGCGGGGAATGGGCGGGCGGCCTGTGTGCGAGGGAAATATCGATTTTTGCTCACGCGATGCAATGCTTTTTCCTTCGTAACAGAAATGTGTTTTGTGCTCCTCCGTGTAGTAGTTTATACTGTTATTACTTTGTTTCTGTATTTTAAGTGTTGTACCTTCTTACGATACCAAAAGCTGCGCATTATCGCTGCGTACTTCATAACGTCAGTTACGGCTACTTCTTCTAACCAACATTTTCGTGCGCAGTACAATCGGAATCATTAATCAGCGAGAAAGGGAGGGAAAAACGAGCACTGCTGGGTGGGAGCAGAGCCCTGCTACTACTTTCTGCTGAAAGACGGAAAAAGTAATACTACAGCTGCGGAAAACGCACGCGCGGGGAAAAACAAAAGGCTAGATGTTATCCCGTTTTGTCTGGTAGCTTAGGCGTGTAGTGGATACAGGGGAGGGTGGGGGTGGGGCTGCGCGGGGGTGGCGCACCCAACATAAAAGGGAGAAGAGGGGAGGCATAATGGGACTCTCGCGCCCCTCCCCCTCCCTCCCCCGCGTGTGCTCGTGATAAAAATGGACGCTTCGTTAGATTCTCTCTCTCCCCCCCGCGAAACAAAAGGCGCTGAGGCACACTTCTAGCAGCGCGGCGGTGGCGGGGCGGGCTGCGCGGGGGTGCCGGTGAGGGGCGGGCGGAGGGAGGGAGGGGAGGGGGGGGCGCCTAGAGTGGAGAACCGCGTCTGTTTAGCGGTGTGCATTACACTCAGTGAGAGAA